AGGGCTGTTTAATCTGTTGATAGTTTCTTTTGTTGTGCAGAAGCTCTTTAGTTTAATTAGATCCCATTTGTCAATTTTCGCTTTTGTTGCAATTGCTTTTGGTGTTTTTGACATGAAATATTTGCCTGTGCCTATTTGCCTAATGGTATTGCCTAGGTTGTCTTCCAGGGTTTTTAGTGTTTTGGGTTTTACATTTATGTCTTTAATCCATCTTGAGTTAGTTTTTGTATATGGTGTAAGGGAGGAGTCCAGTTTCAATCTTCCGCAAATGGCTAACCATTTATCCCAATGATATTTATTGAATAGAGGGTCCTTTCCCCATTGCTTGTTTTTGTCAGGTGTGTCGAAGATCAGATAGTTGTAGGTGCACAGTCTTATTTCCTTTCTCTCTATTCTGTTCCATTGGTTTGTGTATCTGTTCTTATACCAGTACCATGCTGTTTGGTTACTGTAACCCTGTACTATAGTTTGAAGTCAGGTAGCACAATGCTCCCAGCTTTGTTCTTTTCGCTTAGCATTGCCTTGGCTATTTGGGCTCTTTTCTGGTTCCATATGAATTTTAAAATAGTTCTTTCTAGCTCTGTGAAGAATGTCAATGGTAGTTTAATGGGAATAGCATTGAATTCATAAATTGTTCTGGGCAGCATGGCCATTTTAACAACATTAACTCTTTTTAATCAATGAACATGGAATGTTTTTTCATTTGTGTGTCATCTATGATTTCCTTGAGCAGTGGTTTGTAGTCCTCCTTATAGAGATCTTGTAACGAGCTTTTGCAATGCTTGCCACAGTTATCATCATCATCATCACCAGCAGCTGCAGAAGCATCATCATCATCATCATTACCATCATCATCTTCTTCATCAACATCACTTCTTACTAAGAAATCTTGTGTATGTCACTCTCCTTCTCTGAGTTTCAGCTAACTCATAATATGGGGAATATAATGCAGAGGAGTTTTGATGATGATTATTATAGCATCTCACACTTATTGAGTGCCTCTCATGTGCAAGACTTATACTAAGGGTTTGTATTCAGTAGTTCATTTCATGCTCACAAACACCCCCAGACGTAAGCTCCTACTATCATCACTTGACAGATGAGAGAACTCAATTCCAGAAAGATTTAGGTGAGACAGGACTTAAACCTGTTCTTACTGACACCAAAACCCAAGCTCCAGCCCACGGCGCTTTACCACCTTCTCTGGTTGTGAAGATCAAGGGATAATGGGAGTGAAGACACCTGTGGAGCCATCCAGCGTTCTCATGGTTGCTTAGGGCTTGGTCTAAGGCCCAGTGAAAGAGAGGTTCTGATATCAATGTACTTACTATGAACTCTCTGGCATCCTAATTACATGTTCTTTCATCAATCCTGCAGACACTTACAGAGCACCTGGTATGTACTCAGCACTGTGCTAGGAGCAGGAGCCTTAACCAACAAACAAGTCATGGCCTCGAGCCCTGAAGAAACAAAGAGATGTACCTGGAGGCAATTTGTCAGTGTTCACATTCTATTGTACCAGCATCAGAATTACTGAGTTACCCACAGGTGCTTCCAAAATTATGCCTAGGAAAGTCACAGAAAGTGAAATGACAACACCCAACCCTGGTCAGGCTTCAGAATTGCTGTGAACTGATTCCCAGGGGGTGACACAAACACTTTCTGACAATGAAATATTCTGCAGACCCAAAGGCTGGTTTTATTATATTGTACTGTGTAACCATTGTTCTCACACATTTCCATAGATACCTTTAAGATATAGAGTCTAATTTCTTTGTAGTGAACAGCGTTTCAAATCTTATCAAAATCAACTTTCTGAGCATTTAACTTATATAAGCAAATATTGATGGAATATCTACTCTGGAGGAAATGCCAGGCAAATGGAGACAGTGCCTACTCTCATGGGGGCTCACAGCATAGTGGGAGGTGAGGGAATGGCCTGTTCCAAGTCATTTTTGATTTGTTGGAGTGCAGACTTTGCTGGCAACATAGTGGGGTGATAATGGTGAAAAGTCTGGAGAGATTCAGACTTGAATGGGTCCTGGCTTTGTGGCTTTGTCACCCTGGGTTGCTTGGTTGGGTCAACTTGCTAAGTGACAGCGTATGTGCAATGCTCACCTGGAAAGCTTTATCTCAATAGAGGAAGAATTGTCTCCAAATTCAGCCCTTTCCTTTCATCCCCCGAACTGCAGTCTGAGCCTTTTGAAACGCCCATTTCCAGGCTAGGCATGGTGGCTCACAGCTGCAATCCCAGCACTTTGAGAGACCAAGGTGGGCAGATCATCTCAGGTTGGAAATTCAAGACCAGCCTAGCCAACATAGAGAAACCCCATCTACTAAAAATAAAAAATTAGCCCAGTATGATGGCACATGCCTGCAATCCTAGCTACTCAGGAGGCTGAGACAGGAGAATTGCTTGAACCTGGGAGGCAGAGGTTATGGCAAGCCAAGATCTGCACCATTGCACTCCAGCCTGAGCAAGACTCTGTCTCCGAGAGAGAGAGAGAGAGACACAGAGGGGTGGGAGGGAAGAAAGAAAGAGAAAGAAAGAAAGAAAAAAGAAAGGAAGGAAGGAAGGAAGAGAAAGAAAGGAAGGAAGGAAGGAAGAGAAAGAAAGAAAGAAAGAAAGAAAGAAAGAAAGAAAGAAAGAAAGAAAGAAAGAAAGAAAGAAAGAAAGAGAAGAGCAAGCAAGCAAGCCCACCACTGCCTCCTCCCTGGACTGCCCTGACAGACCCCTGCATCCATCCTACACTCTTCCAGGCTTTTCTCCAAACAGCAGTGACCTCTGTGAAATGCAAATCGATCACCTCAACTGCTGCATAGAAGCCAGAAGAGGTTTTCTTTGACTGTGAACCCTTCTCCATGACCTACAAGAAGGCTGCTTCATTGGCCCTGCTCACATTTGCTCTCTCACCCCTTCAGGAGTCTGGATGATTGGCCCCTGTTGTAGACATTGGCCCCATCCTTTCACCCATAGGCCCTCTGCTGGCTCCTCCCTCCACCCGACTCGATCTTTCCCTAGATCTTCAGGAGCCGTATCTCCTCCTTCAATCCACATCTCCTCCATCTCCTCCCCACAGCACCCTTCCCCACCCACTGCCAAAATAGACAATGCATCTCCTCCAGAATGCTGCTCACATTTTGTGTTTATCTTTATTTAATCGTTTGCTCACTCCCTTTTTATTATCTAGTTCCATAGGCTTTTGGGGAACAGGTGGTGTTTGGTTACATGGATAAGTTCTTTAGTGGTGATTTCCAAGATTTTGATGCACCCATCATCCAAGTGGTACACACTACCCAATTTATAGGCTTTTATCCCTCACCCCCTCCCACACTTTCCCCCCAAGTTCCCAAAGTCCATTGTGTCATTCTTTTCTTTTTGAGGTGGAGTTTCACTCTTGTTGCCCAGGCTGGAGTGCAGTGGCACTATCTCAGCTCAGTGCAACCTCTGCCTCCCGGGTTCAAACAATTCTCCTGCCTCAGCCTCCTGAGTAGCTGGGATTGCAGGCATGTGCCATCATGCCCAGCTAATCTGTGTATTTTTAGCAGAGACGGGGTTTCTAATGTTAGTCAAGCTGGTCTCAAACTCCTGATCTCAGGTGATCCACCCACCTCAGCCTTCCAAAGTGCTGGGATTACAAGCATGAGCCCCCACACCTGGCCCTCATTGTACCATTTGTATACCTTTGCATCCTCATAGCTTAGCTCTCACTTGTGAGTGAGAACATGTGATATTTGGTTTTCCATTCCTGGCCACACTCCCTTTTTAATGAACAAGTCATCCCAGCAGACAAGGGATTCCCATGAAAGCAAGCTCATGTTGCCTTTGACCTCACTGTTGGAACAGCCACAGCACATATATAATTGTTAGATGTTGACACAATGAATAGCTCTAGTCTAGTGATTTCCAAATTGTGTTCAGTGTCTCTCTAGAGTTTGGTAAAAGTCTCTGAGGGAATTTCCCATCCTTCGCCCACACTGTCTTGTCTGAGAAACACCCACATATGGATCTCATTGGTGGCTCCAGTTGGAGATGGGGAGGGGACAGTGGGATCCTAGCAGTCATGCTGAGCCCCAGGTCCTGGTCTGGGCACAGGGCACAATTGCCGGTCTCACTGAACAGGACATGGAGGAATGGAAGGGTACAGACCTCAGACCACGCAGTGGGTTTGGAAATCTGTGGAGGTGTTTTGGGCTGTGGTGACTGGAGGCTCTCCTGGCATCAGAAAGTAAAGGGTATGCATGCCCTCAATTAAATGCCCTGCAATTACACAGGACAGTCTTTGAAATCAAGACTTGTCCCACCCCAGTGTCAATGATTGTCTCCACTGAGTAACGCTGAGCCACCAAGGCGACTCCGGAACTGGGGCCCACTACACATTCAGTCAAGGGGCGTGAAGGAGACCAAAGGTACCAAGCTGGGAAGGCACTTCTGTCCTCTCTCAAGCAAGGATTAGCAGGGGTAAAAAAGACCAGAATTTGTAGGCCAGAGTCACAAATCTGTGCTCTGCTACTCAGGAGCAGAGTAACCTTTGGCAAATCAGGTAACCTCCTTAGGCTTCAGTTTTCTCTCCCAGGGATATGGTAGCCAATACCTTCCTGACTCACTTATCCTGAATATTAATTGTAAACATTCACAGCACAAGATAGTCAGTAAATATCAGTGTCCTTACACATCAAATTGTTATATACAGTATTCAATTTGTGATGGGTCACAGTGATTTGGAGGGCATTTGGAGAGCCAAGAGGAAGATGAATCTCTCATTTGGATGAGACAGGTTAGAGAAGTGGTTTTTATACATTTAGGGCTCAAGGGCTGAGGGTCGCCTAACTCTAGCACACCCTCCTAGAGCTGTCATCCAGACAGGCAGAGTCAGTTCCTGTTGAAAGAACATTCTCCTGCTGCGGGAGTGGCTCTAAAGTGTGGCAGATGGAGTTGGATGTTGGAAGCATGACCTTCTCAGAGTGATTAACTCCGTGTTCTGGCTCATACATTGCAGGTGGCATCCCGTTCATCTTGACCGGTGAGTTCTTCCAGCAATCTCAGCGGCCGGCTGCCTTCATCATCGCAGGGCACAGTCAACTGGCTCTCCAACTTTGCTGTTGGGCTCCTCTTCCCATTCATTCAGGTATGAGTGACAAGGAGTCTTTTGCCCCTGGGATTCCCTTTGATTCTGTAGCCCTTGAGGGATGATTCATAGAGCAGAGGTTGATCTCTCCCCTGTCAGCTGGAAACTTCCTATGCTTTGGGAAAAACCTTTCATCCCTTTCTCTTTCCTGAACCTTTCTAGAGCTGCTCTAAATGCTATGGGCTGCTTCAGAGGGCGTGGGCTAACCATTGCTGAGGATATGCAAAGACTCCTAGGCTAGCAACTCAAACCTACAACCTACTCATCATTTTTGCAATGTGCTCATCACTGTGTAAGACAAATTCCATCTAAGCTCCAGTGCACACTGCAATTCACCACCCATTTGACATCGTCACTTGTCATCATCATAACCACAGATAATGGGATCATCATCCCAAGGGTGGCAGTGATCAGTAGGAAAACACCCATACTCAAGAAAGAGATACAAGCTCTTTTTGGGTAGGGAAAGAATCTGATCACTTGCTCACTCATTAATTCAATACATATATATGTTGAGTCCCAGCTATGGTCCAGACACTATTCTTGGCAATGAGGATAGAATGGTAACAAAGCCTGTGTTTCCTGTCCTGGAGCTGAATGAGGAAGCAAAGGAGGCAGAAGTGCTGTTTTAGAGGGGGCAGTCTGTGATGGGCTCTGGAAGGTGACAGTGGAGCAGAGGCCTGAGTGAAGTGAGGGAGCAGAGCGGTCTGGGAATGGTGAGGTCCTGGCTAGAGAAACAGCAAGTGCAAGGGCCCTTAGGCAGGGCTATGTTAGCCTGTGTAAGAGACCGCCCAGAGGCCTGTATGACTGAAACAGAGGGAGCAAGGAAGATGGGTGAGACACAGGATGAGATCAGAGTGTTATCTGGGAGCAAGAACACAAAAGACAAGAGCTTTGCAAGCCTTCTGCAGAGAGCAAGGAATCCAGAAGTATTTGCAGAAGGACGATGAAATTTCCCTGCTCAAATGCCCACCAGGACTCCCTGCTGCCCATGGTACTGGGTGGTACCACCTGGAGAAGGTGAGACTCCATCAGATACATCACCATCCATTCTCGGGGGCTATTTCAATCCTGTCCTCCTCCCCTCACCAACTATTCTGGACAATTACTGTGTAAGACAAATTCCATCTAATAGTTCCAGTGCACACTGCAACTCAGTTCAGTCTGCCTGCTAATTTACTAGTGCCAAGCCCAACACATCCCGGAGATTCTGCTGCCAGCTTGGGTGAGCCGAAGATCTGTATTTACAGTACTGCAAGCCCCAGGCACCCCAACTGCAAGCCTGCATGGCGGCTGTTCCTGCATTCCGTTATGGAGCAGTTGCTCTGTGCCACCTCCCTCCCCCATGCATGGCTTTCTGGGCCCCACATTACCCTCACACGATCCTGAGCTGGAGTTTCTGGTCCTTGCCACTTTACAGGAAAGGAGGTTCAGGAAGCAGACATGGTAAACCCAGGTCCCACAGTCAGCATCAAACCCAGTTTCTCCATCTCACCACTTCTTCCTCGTCCTCGCTCTCCAGCAATCACTTGCTACAGCCTCCCCGTCTTAGAGTTAGAAGGCTGCCATACCCTGTAACTTTCAAGGCATCTTTGACTGTGTTTTAGCAACAACCACTCTATTTCTGAAACATAAATGCTGTTGGGGGCTCTGCGGGCCATGGAATTAGGCAAGGTCCCACACTTATTTACTCCCATCCTGGAGCACCTTCATGTGGCTGCAGTCAGAACATAACAAGTTATCTTTTCAATTGACTTTAAACCTTAAGGGGCTTTTTACAGTTTGGCTCAAAGCCAGCAGAGCCAGGTGTCAGTAAAATCGTCATTATTGTGGCAAAAGTTAACTACAAGCTGCTTCTGTCAACACAGTTCCCCCATCACATTTATAAATTAAGTAGGGAAGTTCCAGCATCTTCACATGGCCCAGTACTGAGATTTGTATATTTGAGAAGCAGGCCACTATCTTCTGAGCCACTTGGGGGTATGGGTGTGAAAGACCTTGCTTGCCTGCCACAGTTTGGGTGTTAACAGCACCAGCATGCCACTTCAGCATAGTGTTTATTGAGTGCTTGCTGTGTGCCGGCGGTACTCCACCACTGCCTAAGCTAGGAGGTAGTACCTGCATGAGCTCAGAGAGCTACCCCACTTCCAAACCTATGTAATTTTTTGTATTTATAAAAACTGGAATCCATTCTTTGCTTTGTTCTTGCTTCCCTTTTCTGTCAGTTATGAGCCATTCCTTATGCCTGTGGGTATTTTCCAAACAAATCTCCTCTGGAAACAGTTCCTGAGTGGTTGGGTATCTCCAGGGTATCTGGGTTTTCAGGGGTCATTCGGGAAACATTGCAGGCGTGAGTGTTGATGAACCTTCATCGGAGCAGGAGCAGCCAGTCTGGACACATGGATGGAGACACTGGGCAGGCACCTGCCTTTAGTATTTTGTGAAATGTCAGCCTTCTGACCCAAGCCTGGGAAGGTAGCCACAGTTAATTTCCTTTCTGTGGAGGATCTTAGCAGGTCGAAGAGCTGGGCTCAGGGGCTGCTGTGAGCAATGATCAGTGCATTAGAGAAAAGCAAGACCAACAAGTTCTGTGTCGCATCCCCCAACCCCAGCCCACCCCAGCCCCACCCACCGGAGCAATGCGTATGTGCCGTAGTCGCCATAAATGAACCATTTCTGACCTTCCTCCCTCCTGAAAGCCAGCTCAGCCACAGTCAAGAGCTATGGTAGTCTACCCGGACTGCCATGACAAAATAGCACAGACTAGGGGGCTTAAACATCAGAAATTTATTTTCTCACAATTCTAGAAGCTAAAAGTCTGAGATCAATGGGTCAGCAGGGTTGGTTTCTCTGAGGCCCCTCTTTGGCTTGTAGATGGCTGTCAGGTTCATGACTATGCCAATTATCATGCCCAGGGTCAGGTTCCAGCTCATGCTTAGGTCTGAAGGGAATAGGTGGTTAGCAAATAGCTGGAAGGACACTCAGGGGACTGTAGGCAGGTGAAATGTAGCTCTCTCATCAGCAGCTCACTCAGCTAGTTCTCTCACACCATCCACCTGTCTTGGCTGCTTAGTTCAGCATTCCCACACATGGCTGCACGGCAGGCTCTCCATTCAGGGTCAGCAGCTTAATTCTTTTTCTCTCTGGGCACCAGAGTTCAAGCTGTGTCCTGGTTCCTCTCTGTCTGTCTTGCAGATGGACAGCTCTGATTCTCTCTTGCTTTCTCTGGGTGCCAGCATGAAAGAATCTGTATGGTGTCAGCAGGGCAATTATACCTTTTACAGATAATAGTGGTGTAGGCCCAAGGGATGGCCTTCCCATGTTGTGGCTACATGGATGTGATAACAAGTGGAGTTACATGCCTGCACTCCAAACTCGCTGAGTCACTCTGGATGCTTACCTCAGCCTACCCTTGACCAAAGCACAACCTTACAGCTGTCTTCTCCCTGTGTCCTCACATGGTCTACCTTCTGTGTGGCTCTGTCTGTGTCCTCATCTCCTCTTCTGAGGATAGCAGGCTATTGGATTAGGGCCCACCCTAATGACCTCATTTTAACTTAATCACCTCTTCAAAGGCCCTATTTCCAAATGAAGCCACATCCTGAGGTGCTAGGACTTAGGACTCAATGTATGAATGTAGCGAGGGACATGGTTTAGCCCATTGCACCTCCAAGAGAAACTACTCACACATCTTGATTGTTTCACTTATTCCAATGAGTGTCAGTGGCAAATGTATTCCAGCCCTCAGACAGACCCCTAAGAAGCCTGAACTTATTCCTCAGAATAAAATATCTGAGCCAATAGAGCCACAGACAATGGCACAAATTATACCTATATTGTAGCCTATGTATTAGCAGAGGGCCCTGGGCATGCTCCTCAAGCATGGATTTCCTCTAAGCATGAGTTTCCTCACCTGTAAAACAGGGAAAACCCTTAACCTTCTCATCACCAACAGAAAAGGGAGGCCACTGTGGTTGTGGGGAGGAGCCAATGTGGGCTCCTCATGCTCACCTCCACACGCTGGCTCTGGGATCCTGTTGCTAGTATTTGCTGTGGTCAGCATCAGTGTTGCTTGCTTGGGCACTCTCTTACAAGGCCTGCAGAAAACTCAGTCTTCAGTGTGAGTGCCAATATTTTGTGATTTGAAAAAAAATTGCATGCAAATGTATGCCTCTTTGATTCTACTGGAGTTGTAAACCTGTTTGAGTTCAATAAACTCCAGAGAGTAAATTATTCTTTTTCACCTGAAGAATATTGGGTCACGTCCTGAATGCCTCAGCAGAGTGAGATGGGCAGGGCTAGTCAAACTTTTTCTGATGTTTTTGTTTTGTTTTTCTTCAACTTTTATTCTAAGTTTTGGGTGCTTGTGTAGGGCGTGCAGGTTTGTTACACAGGTAAACATATGCCATGGTAGTTTGCTGCACAGATCAATCCATCACCTAGGTATTAATATTAAGCCCAGAATCCGTTAGCTATTCTTCCTGACACTCTCCCTCCCCCACAATCCCCTGATAGGCCTTAGTGTGTATTGTGCCCCATAATGTATATGTTCTCATCATTCAGCTCCCACTTATAAGTGAGAACATGCAGTGTTTGATTTTCTGTTTCTGTGTTAGTTTGCTGAGGGTAACAGCTTCCAGCTCCATCCATGTCACTGCAAAGGACACAATCTCATTTCTTTATATGGCTGCACAGTATTCCATGGTGTATATGTACCATATTTTCTTGATCCAATCTATCATTGATAGGCATTTGGGTTGATTCCAGGTCTTTGCTATTGTGAATAATGCTGCAATGAATATACACATGCATATATCTTTACAATACAATGATTTATATTCCTTTAGGTAGATACCCAGTAATAGGATTGCTGGGTAAAATAGTATTTCTGCCTCTAGGTCTTTGAGGAATCACCATGCTGTCTTTCACAATGGTTGAACTAATTTAAACTCCCATCAACAGTATAAAAGTGTTCCTTTTTCTCTGCAAGCTTACCAGCA